ATTTCGACAAGGTTTTGTCATCATCAAAACCTTGTCGAAATGTTGTACATTTTCTGTTATGTTAAAGCTTTTCTTCATTACCCATTCAAGCCGTCTCCAACCATTATTAGTCTCAAAGTGGGTTCCTCATCATTGAATTTGAATCTCTAATTAATATTTGTCTTATAATTCCATACTGCATCCACCAGTAGTTTAAATAGGAGCACCAAATCATCCTGAAACTGAACAGTTTCTTGAAAACATGTAATTCAAATACATATAAGTTGTGTAATTCTTTACAGGCACTGTTTAGTAAGGAATAATTTTTCTTAGGTCAAGGGCGACTTGATGGAGCTTTCTGTGACTACAACGAACAGGATAAATTGATGCATCTAGAAGTATTACGCAAGGAAGGTGTCACAAACATTGAAATGGAATCTTTGGCTTTTGCAGCAATGTGTAGCTATGCAGGAATAAAGGGTATGTTGTTGTTTGCTTTAATAAAGCAATTTAGTATTAAAGAGTTTGTAGTCCTTTAGTGCCAACACTGGTGTTATATTTTAATTATATAGTCACATTCACCAAGTATTTTATGTTAATTATTTGTGACCCTTGTTTATTTAAAAATGCAAATATTGAAAAATTGTTTGGCAGGAATTACTGACAAAAGTAAGACAGCTGACAGGTATATTTAAACCAATTGGGATAATTAACAATGTTTTAATGGCCACAAAATTAAAAAAAGCTACAAAATCTGTAATCCTAAAAGTAAATTTATGATTTTACATCAAAATGGCTTGTGTTCTCTTAAGATATTCAGCGTATAATTTTTTTCAAATATAACACTGCACTTGTTATCAAAGTACCAAAAGTTTATTTGTGTATAGGTACTACACATTCTTATGTAATTCAGGTGCTAATAGTAATTACGAACTCATTATTGCTCAATAATAATGAACTTTAGAGACAATATTTGTATTTTTGAACACTGATAATGCATATATCAATATTAATAGCAGTTTGTCCCCCCAAGAAATAAAAGTTACAGTGCTTGTGTGTTTATCATACCAGGAACACATTATATAGGAATGATACTTGTTTATTCTTTATTTATGTATATCAGGAAGTTCTAACTGCTTCAAAATAAAGTATAAGAAAATACAAGTCCAAAAGCTACTGAAAGGATAATTTTTTTAGTATTTTCAATGATGATCATTTAGACGATGAATATTTCACTGAGGAGTATTCTTCAAACTGCAAAATTGTGTTATTAAATATATATATGTTTTAAAGTGTATAAAATGTGTGGTATTTTTCAGCTTATGGATTTCTATCAGAGTAGTCATTTAGGACCTGCTAACTGGAGGTTTAAAGGATACCAACTTATAGAGTGTGTGTGTGTGTGTCTGTTTATCTCTTTAGTCTCTTAAATGAGTTCATCAGGAGGAAAAAACTAAAACATAGTAGATGCGTAAAAATAACCTTTATTTGCACAACAAAAAACATAAGATAAAACAAAATAGGGGCAAATGCATCTGTGGTGAATATGATGGACTGACAACAGACAGAAAGGAAGTGAATCTTTTGTGAGCATTCTCTTACCAGTTCAGTGTGTGTGCCCATCCTGTAAGTTAAATTAAAACAAAGTTACAAAATAAAAATAAACCCAGAGTTAAAATTATAAAAGAAAAAAAACAACAATAAAATAAGCTACTAAAAGTTAAACTAAAACTTAGCCAAATCTAATTCCTAGCAAAAGCATCTGAATAAAGTAAAATCTGTTGTCTTATACAAAAAAAAACTCTAATACTGCTAAAAGTTAAGTTACAAAACAAATCTTAGTTAAAATCTGACCAACTAGGAAGAACCTGACTTTTTAATACTAGAAAATAAAATAACAAATGTGATCTTCATGTGATCTCCATTTACATGTGGTGCTTAAGTGCAAACAAAATAGACAGCCTTCTATTCCTGGACTTCACTTACTATTGTCCCTGCAAGAGACTAAAGTAATTGCCAATTAGTGGATGAGGTCGCAGGCAGAACTTGGAAGAAGCAAGGCCAAACAAAATGCCAACTTCGATTTTTAAGAACAGATGTTTTGTAGAAAAAGTAAAAAGCACAAAGCTTTTATTATGTTTTTCTTAAAACAACTAATTTGTATAAAACTGTGACCCTTAAAGATCAGTACTGCACCCCTTTGAGGTCTGCGGCCTAGGCGACTGCCTAGTTGGCCTAATGGTAGTGCCGCCCCTGGTTTTACTCCTTCATAGCCTGTAAGCTAGTACAAATTTGGCCATGCTGGTTGGCAATTTAGATTTTAGGTATTATAAGGTGTTCAAATATCTTTAAGAATTTTTTTAAAAAGGGAGTTCTGGAAATCTTTATTTGGGAATCAATTCACCAAAGATGTCTTTTTGACTCACAAACTGGGTGTTAAAGTATACTTTAACACAAAATTTTGTTGTGAAGAAGCAATAATTTGAAGCTTTCACGATACTTGGCTTATAAAATAACTTCCTTCTTTTATTTTCAGAAAGTTCTTTAATGTTTGTTTTTATATTTTTGTCATTAAACAAATGGGTGGTTAACCAAGATAAGTCATAGATCCAAATTCTTAGGAGAGTAAGTCATTACTTAATCTTTCTAGCCATATTTGACACTTTTTGGATTCTTCAAATTCTATTTTCATCATTTTTATTTCATTGGCTCTAATGCATGCGTTAACACTGACAGCCACTGTAGCTTTAAATTAATACTTTTTTTTTGTAGATAAACATCTTCTGTTGAGCTACATTTTGCAAAACAAATAGAAGTTATGCACTTCAATATACTCCTCAAATGACCGACAATGATGGTCACTGAAGGTCTAAATTAATAATTTATTTCTAGATAAGCATTTGCTGTTGGATTACTCTTTCTACAATAAATGGAAGTTACTTCAATAAACTTCTGAGATTACCAACAGTATTTATTTTCTTTAGACAGCTGAAGCATTCCTATTTTTTAGATACTAAATACTATTAATATTTTTTCAGACATAGACAATATCTTTTTTTTTATGTACTTGTTTATAGTTTCAGTTTAATTTAGAGGATAGAACAGCTGAGATGGACCAGTAGGTCCCTTGTTGGCCTAAACATTATGTTATGTTATCTGCATACCAATGTTGTTTATATCTTTTAGTTACAGCAGTGCAAGTGTTCCCCTAGATAATAACGATAATTTTATTACAACTATCAAAGATACACATGTATGCTCCTCCTACCATGTTTCAACAGTAACATGTTTGTAAAGTACTGCAAATACTGTTTAAACCATAGACACAGTACATCCAAATGATAACGACAGTACTTGAATTTGTAATATGCCAACAGTACTTTTAACTTTCAGACGCCTACTGTATTTAAATATCAATATAATTTGGTTTGAAAAGGGCAAACTTTTTGCTATACCATTTTAGAAGCATGCCTATGGCCTTGAATATACCTATAGCTTACTTGAATTTTTTTCTATATAGATATACAGGGTGTTCCAAAATTATCTATCCTCTTCTAAAAGTTAATAATCAAATAACTAAGGAAATACAACCAAGTAATTTTCAACATCTTATAGCCAAACCCAAACAGTTTTTATTGGCATGTTTTTTGTTTGTTTCTTTTTTACTCCAGCGAGTAGCGTCACCCCATAAAATGGCAACCGTGCAAGAAAAGACTCAATGCGTTGTTTGGCTTGCAGAGACCACGTCAGTGACTGTGGTGCAGGGTAATTACAGACGCCAGTACAGGAAAGAAGCATGGGAGTATGTTAAGGACATCGTGTATCGCACACCTATAGCAAACATCATGAAGCTAAAGACCGGGATAACGGACGCCGTCGCCACTGTAACTGTGGGCATGTTGCAGCAAACGTAGATTGAAATCGAATATTGCTTAGACGTGCCGAGAGCCACTAATGATGCACGCATAGAAGTGTGATGACGTGTCAATAAAAACTGTTTGAGTTGGGCTACGAGATGTTGAAAATTGCATGGTTGTATTTCCTTCGTTAGATAAATTATTAAATTCTAAAATACGAAATATAATTTTGGATCACCCTGTATTTTAAACGATTGAGATAATCATTTAACATCAGCGTGCTTTCATACCTGTTTTACCCTTTGATTACTATCACGGGTACATTATGTACACAGTAGGCCACAATTTTACCAACACGGGTATGTTTGGCTCACCATCTTATAATATTTAATTAAAATTAATTATTAGGTGAATTAAGTTATTAGATAGCAGGTCAAGCAGTTGAAACGTAGTGTATTTGTATACTTCTTACTTCCAATAAACTATGCCACAAGTTGTTGATATTACGTTCTCTTGAGTTATCTCAATATAGGTAACCATTAGGTAAATTTTTACATAAATCACAGATAAAAAAAACAACAAAGAGAAGCATAACATACATTGTGCTGGCCATATATACTTATTTGATATATTGAGCAAAGGAGGGTTGAAATACGTCATATGTGCCCCGAATTGTTTATTGTATATGTTAAGTAGACGGGATATACACAGGTGTTATGAACGAGTAGTTACTAAGAAAAGATGTTTGAAATGAAATAGTACAGGGCTCTTGGTGAAAACTTATTTGTCTGTATAACGTTACGTAGGTGCTGTTGTTTGCGTCACTCTTCTGAATCGTCTCCATGGTGATCAAGTGTCGGTTCCTAAATCTAAGCTTGAGGAATGGCAACATCGCCCACAAGAGTTGGCTGCAGCTTTTATCAAGAAACGTTTAAATCTTGTGTAGAAAACACCGTGAACCGGCTGTGGCCGCTGCAGGCTTGAATTGATTAGAACCCGAGTTTATAGTTTCCTGTGATTGTTGTATAAATACCATTTTTACTTTAATTTATCGTTATTGATGTACTGAGTCGTTACTTATTTGTTCTTTTAGCTGTGAGTTGCATAATACATTCGTTTTTTAATTATATTAAGTATTTGAAGTTAAAAAAACGTTTTAGCCTTACTGCTAGTCTTTTTGGAATATTATACAATACAATGATATTTTTCTACTCATAATTATCTTAGTATATGATCTTTAAATAAAGAATAACTTAAAAACAAGAATATTATGAACAAATGTAGAAACAGAAAATACATTTTTCTTCCTAAAGTCTTTTTTCCTGTCTCGACAGTTGAACTATACCTGAAAAATATATTATGTGCTAATGTTTCAGTGTTGGCTGTACAAAAACTCAGACTGTTAGTGAATTTTTTTTCTTAGAGTTATTGTGGCCTTTAATTTAAAAAAAAAGTATATTTTCGGCTGCACAGCCCATTTTAATAATTTCTGAAGGATAGAATTTTCCGCTATAAATCTAAACCATATTTTTGAATAGTGATGATATTAAGAATTGAAATATATGAGGACAACAGAGTTTTGAATCGATGAGAGTTATATGAGTTAATATTACATTTCAATGTTAAGAATTGAAATATATATGAGAACAACACAGTTTTGAATCGATGAGAGTTATATGAGTTAATATTACATTTCAATGTTAAGAATTGAAATATATATGAGAACAACACAGTTTTGAATCGATGAAACTTGTATGACTTAATATTACATTTCAATGTTAAGAATTGAAATATATATGAGAACAACACAGTTTTGAATGGATGAGATAGATGTGAGATACGATTACATATCTTTTCATTGATCTTGCAAACAGGATTCATTCCTTTTGTTTATTTGAGAAGACCCCCTCCCCCCACAAAATTAGTATTGTTATATCGATTTTTTCCTCGCACAATATATTACGAAAATACTTGTCAGGATCCCCCCCCCCCTCAATGAAATCTAAGGTTTTTTAATGCTAAAGTTTGGGGTAAAATTTCCACGGTGTTCACAGCACAGATGAGCCCATTGTATAATTTTGTGCTTAACAAAATGCACAAATAATTTTTAATCATTATATTTTTAATTGAGAAAACCATATACATACTGAGGGACCATCTTTTTATTTTAATAATAGGTATGCAAACAATTATTTACAATAAAAAGGAAAAGAAGACAGACCAATGTTCTGTCGAAACATGTAGTATGTTCCACCATTAATAAAACTTTTCCTTGTGCTTATAAATCGTTGTTTGTCTATCTATTATTATATTAGTGTAATGTGTGTGCTTCCTTACTCAAGTAATTAGTATTTGTTTTTCAAAAATATATTAGTGCAAGATTTTCAGACTGTCTTTCATCTTATTTATATTATGAAAAAAAATCTTCTTCAAATTTTGGTTTATAAATTCGTTCTTTTATACTAAAGCTGTGATGAATAATAAAAAATATTTTTCGTAACATCTTGTTTAATGAAATAGTGATATGCATTTAAAATATTTATAAGCTTTAAAAACAAATGTTTATTAAATTCACCCCTCCCCCGCTGGCTCAGGGTTAAGTTTGAAGGCTTATAACGCTAGAAATCGGTTTTCGATACCTGCAGTGTGCAGAGCACATATAGCCCATTGTGTTTCTTGGCAACAAAACAAAACAACAAAGCTCTTAAATAAACTCTCGTTTTTTATTGCAT